CCCCTCGTTTGTTGTCCTCTTCTCCCTCTCTGCCTACGGTTTACCGGGCAGTTCTATTTGACGATATATATATATATATATATCGTCACAAATATGGCTACGCCGGACTGACCCGGACAGCTCATGTCTGGGGACCGGACGGATGTCCGGTCAGGTCCGGACGTCCGGACTTCCAGACATATCTGGACCTCCGGACATGCATGGTTCCGGACCGGTAAGCAGGTCCGGAAATGTCCGGACCATTTAAAAAAAATGTTTACGCAGAATAACAATGCAAACCACTTTTGCCTCAGACTCATGTCAGAATTCCTAACCAAACTTGAGTTAAAAGGGGCTCGTTAGACACTCTTATTGAAAGGCAAAAGGAAAAATTCCTTTTGGTTCAGAAGGAAATTTGGGCCCTTCGTTCCACCTGTCCTCCGGGACGTCGCCCGAGGACATTTCCTTCGAGCGATGTCAGAAAAGAAAAAAGAAAAGCAAAAAAAAGTCAAATGTGCTTGAGGCCTTCAGCCAATAGGGTGCCGCCACGATCCAGATTCTCGGTTGAAACTTCTCTCTACCCATGTGCCCGCTCCTCTCCGTGAAACGCGGATTCCCTTTGCCCAAGGGACCTCGTGAGGTCCCTTGGGCAAAAGGAAGAAATGCCTGGGGTTTTCTGACTGCATCCCCAAGGATAGGTGGAAGGAACAATTCCTCAGGGACTTTACACGCCCGAGGAGTGTCTAACCCCAAAGTCAAGACTTAAAACACTTTAAAAAAGACTTTAAAAACTTTTGAAAAGTAACGAATTATTAATAATTCATTACTTGCCATACTTGGGTATTAGTAATAAATTATTATAGAGATAGACCATGTCTGGACTCCCCCAAAAAACAAAAACGGGCTTGAAAAACCCCCAAAACAATTTTGGGGGCTTGGCTCCTCAGTGGGGAAGGGTCCTGGACAGTTTTTTTTTTTTTTTTTTTTTTTTTTTTTTGGCAGATCTGGACCTTCCGGACGTCTGGAGTCTGGACTGAATCCAGACCGTCTGGACGGCGGTCCAGACGTGTGGATCGTAGCCATGATATATATATTATTTCCCCCTTGGACGGCTTAAAACCAGGTCGAGAGTGCATCCGATAGGCAAAGCGTAGTCTATACTGCAACTGTTCCAACACCGGGGATTCTATAGCACACAGCTACTTGTACAGCAGCTTCTGCGGTGTGCCAGGGAGCACAGGCTAATATGCTATCTGCGCACTGTGCCTCGGAAGACAGCTGGCTGGGTATGATGATGTATTTATTCCAGGAGAAACCTTCTTTCAACACACTGAAGAGAATCCCAGTTTTCATGGATGTCTCAAAGGACAGTGGACATCCGTACCTAGGCCTTGTATTAGTGTGAGGTGAGAGCATCTTCTTTTTTCCAGCCTCCTGATGAGTCGGTGAAACTCCGACGAAACAGTTTGTCACAGCCCCTCGTTTGTTGTCCTCTTCTCTCTCTCTGCCTACGGTTTACCGGGCAGTTCTGTTTGTGACGATATATATATTTGACGATATATATATATCGTCACTCTTTTTTGGGGATTTTTTCCTTTTTTTCGAAACATCTGCACGCAACCAACTTGTGGAGGTGGTAAGAGCATCCCCCACTGGTTAGTGCCGCGTCGTGGATGGCTCCAATGATTCCAATCTATTGGTGGGGGGAGCTGCACCTGCTGCAAACCGGGTCCACCCCTTTGCCAAGATCAGAGCAAATTATACAAAAAAAAAGCAGAACAGCATTGATTGATTGCCAGCATCTCTTTTCCGTTTGGCCCCACGAATACAAAATGACCATGCAAATGGTGGCTTGCCAAAATATCCTTTCATTTTTTTGTTCAAAAAGAGAGAGACTGCAGCCACTGTCTTCCTTCCCCTGAGCCCCCCGAACAAGACTTCCCCATCTCTGCGACTGTAACGAGGCACTGAGAGAAAACACGTTCGACTTGTGTGTGGATGATTTGACGGCGTGTCATGAATTTTGAATTTTCTTTCTTTCTTCTGTTTTCTTCGTTTTGTTTTCAATCGTATCCAGTGGATAATAAGGGCTTTGATAAAGCAGACAAGGGACAGCATCGGCAGGTTGAGAAGAGTGCACCATCTGCATCCGGAGGATCACTACAAAGGAGGCCATCACTCGAAAAAGGTAAGAGCAAAGGCAGGAAGTTTAGGAATAAAGGCTTTTCGTTTGCACCTCCTCGCTTCGTTCCCATCCCTAAACAATGTTGGTGTCATGCTGTCTTGTTTTTTTTTTTTTTTTTGTTTCTGCCGTTCGTTTCGCAAAGTGCGCTCTTTTAGTTCATAGTTATGTAACCATATATCTGTGGAGTACAAACTGCCAGTGGTTGTCCCAGACTCCCATCCCAGCCCTAGAAAAAAAAAAATGCACGTCAGTTAACATGGGGGGCGCAGAAAGGCTCAGAGTACCTGTTGCGAAAGTCCGACGGCGCCAGGCAAACCGTGCACCACCCCGGTTCAGATTTCTTGGGGCCGGGCCCAAATCTGCATCGGGGGAAGAAGAGACCGGGTACCACGGGGGGCTTAATAATAGATAGATGGCATGGTCACACTCACATTCCACGTCTCAAACTCCAGCTCAGGAACTGGCTTTCATTATTTCATATTCAGATTTCCAACCTACAAAACTCTGGGCTCGGCAATTATCTCAAATCAAGAACGGAGATGTCTTCATATGCTGGTTACTGGATAGAGCTGACCCTTGTGCAGCACCAGGGCACGGCTACCCCATGGTGCAAGAGTGTTCTTTCTGCAGCAGCAGGGCAGGACTACCCGCTGGTGCGAGAGAGGTTCAGGGGCTCCCCACTGTCACAGGAAATTTAGAGGTGGTTCGCGGCAAGGGCTACGCAGCTTGGGTTACCCGCTGGCCAACTGATGGCGAACGCATCTTCGATGCGCTGATACTGACCCTACTTGCTCATCACTTCCCGCCAGCAGTGGAGATCCATGGAAAATGCCATGACACCCATCCAGAAGTGGGTTATGCTCGCCATGCACCCCTGGGCACAACACGCAAGGTCATCCATTCATGTATTGTATAGTGCCACATTGCACTCCGCACCACATATTCCCCAAATCACGTGTGTAACGCATTTCGAAATGCAAGGCATTTGTAGAATCGCACTTTCGCACTGCCATTCGCAATGGCTCTCCATGTGCGTGTGCGTGTGTGTTTGGTAAGAGACGAAACCCCCACGAATAAAGTCGTGGTGAGTTGCGTGGAGAAAGCACTATAGGAAACATACCAAGAAAATAAATTTCCCACTTCATATGGCATGACCAAAACAGAGCAAACAAGCAGAAGCTAAAACCCAAATAGACTAGAACCCCAGGGCACTAAGCTACAAGGCAGAAGGGCACACAAGCATAGGAAGTACACAAAGCAAGGCGGCAAACAACTAACAACCCAGGTAGGCAGCAAAGGAAGACAAGGCAGCAGAGGGCAGAAAGCAGGAAAGCAGGAAAGCAAAGGTAGTGCAGCAACACACAGGGAGACAATGGATAAAGATGCACTGAATGACAAGCAACAACGAGGCACCTAGGCTGGAGGGCACAGGGGAGGCGGGTGGGAATACAAACAAAGCAGCAAAAGTAAAAGGCAATGAGCTAAAGAAACAACAAGTAACAATGAGAGACATATGCTGGAGGGCACGGGGGAAGCGAGTGGGAAGACAGACAGCACAAGGCAACAAAAGAAACGGCAACAGACCAGCAGACAAAGACTGAAAAAAATAAAAGGTGATGATAACCAGATTGTTTCGTCGGAGTTGCACCAACTCATCAGGAGGCTGAACCCTCGGCAATCTGTGGAATCTTCGTATTGATGGTTTGGGTCATGAACCCTTTGACCCATGTTGAAGCCAGACTGTCCCCAAACAGCACATAGCAGTGGGCAGCAACCCAGCGAAGCACCAGGCAACGCTGCAGAGGCAACTCGACTGCTCAATGCCAAAGACGACTGCAAGGAACGACATGGCAAGCGGATGAACAGCACAGCAACTGTGCAGTGAAGCACAAGGCAACCACACTGCAAGGGACGACAGGGCGAGCGGACGAGCAGCACAGCAACCATTCAGTGAAGCACAAAGCATCACCAACAAAGGCGACCGAACTACAAGGTATGCAAGCAAAGGACATGGAAGGCACAGCTTGCGTGGGCAGTAAGGCGGCGGAGCAGCGAAGAGCAAGGCAACACTAACAACATGGCCACACCACAGAGCAAACACAGGTTACACAGCAGCTTGCCAAGAACGACCTGCGAAGCAAGCGGGACAGGCAGCAAGGCAGTGGTGGAGCGCAGATGAGACAGTCCACACATCCAACACGGAGCAAAGCGGCACATGACCTACTCACATCACGGGTGAACCCCCTGACTGTTGGTTCCCACCACCCACTGAGGCAGGGAGTCACGCCGACGAACATCCATCATCACCCGGAGGGCAGACAGACATCCCGAACTGAGAAGCCCCCCTAAGACTGTTGCAGGCACTCCAAACGAGGAATGACCGACTGTTTGGCACTGCTAAGGGTGCTCAGTTGGGTAAACAAAAGTTACTTAGAGAAAAAAAAAAAAAAAGAACAAACAACAAAAGAAAGACTTATAGACATCAAACTGATTGATCAGTGGGTCGCCCGACTGTGTGACTGTGGTTGTGCCCATCACAGTCTTCAGGGAGGGGGGGGTGGTTGGGGTGAAGTTATAGAAGCCTCCCTAGAGGGGGGGGAGATTAGAGGCTCCGAGGGGGGGGTCTGGAGAGAAAGTAGATGACCTTTGGGGGAGGAGAGTCATCGTACTTAACCAGCAAGATTGGGGGTAGATGCTTGTTCGTCTAGAGGAGACCAGTGAGTGCATACAACAGATAATCCTAAGTATGACCTTGTAGATAGAGCAGGGGATGCAGGGGGGGATGGGCCGGAGGTTTTCCCTGGAAGGAACCGGCCCAGCAGCAAACTGGTGCAGGTTAGGGGATTGATTTTAGTATATATATTACCCTGCTTCCCCCGATATGGTTTTAGCAGGGGACAGTTGGTCCCCTCAAGATAACACAACCCATAAATGTACCATTAACTATGTTGTGCAGGGGGAATGGGCCAGAGATTTTCCCTCGCAGGAATCAGTCCTGCGCCGAGCCGTCGCGGGTTACGGGATCAATATTACCCTGGCCCCTCGACATGATACTAGCAGGTGGGGTAGATAATACCCTCAAGATAACGTGACTGACAAATGACTGATAATATACAGTATTTACAGTATATACAAGGTTTGGGAATTATGGGATATCTCAGTCAGGCTCAATTGCCCACCTTCTTTTGGCCTCCATCATTCTGGAGAACAGCAGTCTTCCTTTCTGGTTGGGGATCACCCAGCAGTGGTCCTGTGACCACTTCTTTGTGAATCTTTGTGCTTTGTCCTGCAAAGGAAGACTTGCTCCCCTGTCCTTACGCCAGTCCGCCTCGATGATTTCTCTGATACTTCTTCGCATGAGTTGTTGTGCTCTTTCCTTCTTCGGCTCGACATTGTTGAAGCGCCTTCCATTCCTTTCTATCCAGAGTGCCCACATGCCCACAATTCTTGCCGCCTTCACCATTGGTGGATGTTCTTGACCTGAACCTCCCAATATCAGTTTGCCATCCCACTTGTTGTGATGTTCTGTTCCCTGGTTGGCTTCAGCCCATAGCACTTGCCACCAGGCCCAGAATTTCCTGGCGAAATCACAGGACCACCAGATGTGGGATTGATATTCGATTTCCTGATCATTGCAGGTCATACAGAGGAGGTCGACCATCATTCTATTCTGTGTACACCAGCTACCTGTAGGCACACACTGGTGAATTACCAACCATTCCAAACTGGCATGTTTAACCGCAGGGTAACTTTTCAGTATCCTGCCGTAGTTCTTTGCCCAGGTAAGGGTGCAGTTGGGAAAGCCCAGCTTCTGTTGGCTCTGATCCCACGAGTTCTTGACTACCACACACAGTTCGTTGGCTTTGGACATCAGCCGGTATCCCAGCGAGACTGTGTAGTCTATTATGGAAGCTTGCGAGGTGTCATCTGAGAATTATTCCAGCCATAGATCCCGACATCCACTGTGACGTTCACCACCGGTACCCCACCTAACAATAGTCCGTAGGTTGGAACCGGCCCCTTTGGGGACTGTTTAGTGGACACCTTCACCCTGATCAGTCTGCACTGATCTGCTGATAGTGTGTAGTCTAGGCGATAGTCCTGGCCTGCTTCCTGGCCTGCTTCATTCGTTCGGACCTCCTGCAGTTCTCTTCTATCTTCCTTCCATTTGGAGCACCTGACTCGACCTGAGATTATGGCCATCCAATACTTCTTCTATTTTCCAGAAAAAGACTCTCTCCTCCTCATCTATTACCCACGTACCCTGTTCAAAGGGATCAGTTTTCAGCATTTTTACCCAATGTGCAAGAACTGCCTGGTGAACGAGTAGCAGGCAGTTCCGCAGATTGTGCGGCCTTCCTAATACCGTCTCAATCTCCCGTTCACTCTTCCACTCCTTTCAGTCTGTATCCCGCAGGTCTCTGATCTTTGAGACACCTTTCTGGACCCACTTCATCCCGAATCCTCATGCACTCTCTGAAATCGGCAGAGGGTTCCCTTGTTGTGTCTTGATGAGGTGATTCTCAAAGATTGGCTGGAGGAGCACTTCATCTCTAGCTCTTGGTTCTCGGAGAAGAGTGGGGAACAGTATTTTCCAGGCTTGTAGGATTGGTTTCCAAGTCCCAGAGTTGATGTGTTTTCTGAGAAAAGGCTGGAGCAGCATGCAGATCTAGATATCATGTGACAGGCCCCATTCTTGGGACAATGTAGCTTCGGCTAAGAGCATCCAAGACTTTCTCTCTGATTCCATCATTCCCCTTATCACCCATTTGCACATAAGGGCCTGGTTATGGGTTTCCGGATGCAGCAACCCAAGTCCTCGTTATTCCTCTTTTGGGTGATCTTCCACCAAGCCACCTTTGGGAAGGCGTCCCTTTCCAAAGGTAATTGGTCGTTCCCTTGCTGATCCTCTTGGTTGTTGTTGGTGCTAGAGCTCTTACTGTAAGCACATACCACAGGACTGAGAATACCACCGCGTTAATTACAAGTGCACACCCAAACAATGAGATGGACCAAAAGGAAGACCACTTCTCCAGTCTGTTGAAGACTTTCTCTTCGAGTAACTGGTTCTGCCTGTTGGAACAATCTGAGAAGGAGATATCCACTCCTAAAAAACGTTTTGATGATTCGCTGTGCTTGGTTTCCATTCCCAAATCCAAGGCCAGTGGAGAGTCATCCCTTGACAAGACTACGAATTTACTCCAGCTAACCTTGGCTTCCGAGGCCTTCCCGAAGAGACAAAGACATTGGAAACTGCCTGCAATGAGGCAGTCGCGTTTGCTGATACGGCTGAAAGGTCATCAGCCAAGGCCGATGCTTTGATGGTAAGAAAAGGATTCAATCTGAGCCCTTTGATGTCTAACGATGATCTGATCGTATTGAGAAAAACCTCCTGTTGCAGAACATACAGGAGGGGAGCCAATTAGCAACCTTGGCGAAGGGACCGTGTTAGTGTGAAAGGATCAGATTTCATGCCGTTGATGACAACGGAGGCTTGAGAGTCTAGGTATAAGAACTTGGGCAGTTCATGGACAAGAGGGAAGGGTAGTTTCAAAGTTGTTCTTCTACTCCTGTGAGATGTCGTTAGAAGTATTTTGTTTCCATGTGGAGAGGTTTGGGATGGAGGTTGGGGGAACCACTATTCTGCGGGGACTGGCTTTTGGTGGGAACTGCTCGTTCTTGAGGGAGTGCTGGTTCGTTGAGGGGTTTGTCCTGAACTGTGGTCAATAAGGGGAACGGGTCGCCCCTTGACGGGGGCAGTTCATGGACAAAAGGAAGTTTTTTTCTGATTAGAAGGAACATGTTTTCCTAAAAGTGTTAGTGCTTCATCATGGTTCTCAGTTTGTTCTCAACCGAATGCCAGGGAAGGGACCTAGTATCATGAAAAATTTATAGATAAAAAAAAAAAAAAAAAAAAAAAAAAAAAAAAAGAGGGCCAAAACCCCTTCGATCAAGGGTCTCTAGGGTGAACTGTCAGTCAGTTCACCCTATCGTAGGCCTTCTCAAAATCAATCAAGAGAATACCTTCATCCGACTGTCGGATCTTGATGACTCCGATCACTTCCATGATCATCATCACATTATCAAGGACTTGACGACCAGCCACAAGACCGGACTGGTCTGGGTGGACTAGCGAGGGAATAACTTTGCGGATTCTCAGGGATAATACTTTGGCTAGTATCTTACTAGAGGCATTGAGGAGGGTGATAGAGCGCCAATTCCGAATTTCTGCTTTCTCATTCTTCTTGTGAAATAAGGAGATTGCTCCCTCCATCATACCTTTGCCTAATCGATACCCTTCTAGCACGATCATCTGGTCCATGACATTTTCCTGTGGCCATGTTATCTTTAGCTCTAGAGAGTTCCTCTAGGGTGATTGCCTCATCCAACTCCTCCCTGGCGGAGAGAGGTATTTGTGTGAGGTTTTCTCTCCAGAGTATCGCCTCCTCTTCGGGGGCCACAAGCTTTTCATCTAGATTTTTCTCTGTGGTCAGAAGATTTTCATAAAATAGACGCACTTATTTACAAATGCCCTTTCTTGTTCGTGCCACTGGTGCATCAGGCTCAAAGGGGTGATTCATTTCTCTCATACTGGATTGATCTCCTTTGTGAGATGTTTAAGAGAATTGTTTTTTTGTCATTTTGTCCTGACCCAAGACTTTTGAGACAGCCCAGTATCTTGTCCATTGTTCTTCTCTTTCAATCTGGTAGTTTTGTCATTCTGTTGTTACTCTTTCCTTTTTTTCTAGCCAGTAATCCGACGGTTGATCTGTCGCCACTATTCTTCTTTCTATGGCTTCAATATGCTTTCGGAAGGAATCTTCCTTCCTTAGTCTATCTCTGGCCATTATGAAGGAGAATAGTTGCAACCAACCAGCCTGCAGTTTCTCTGATGCCTTGATCAAATCGTTCAGCAAATGATTCTTGTAATAGGATGATCTGTGCTTTTTGTTGATGTGCCCAAGTTTTCAGCCTTGCTTTCTTCATCTTCCCGTTCTCGTCCCGGCGTCCCCTAAGCCCCGCACGTTCCAAGATACAATCCTTATTTTATTATTCATGGATTGTGGTCTGGTGGCCCTTGGCTTGGATGGGCGTCGGTGTGGGATGATTCTGTGGATTTGTGGGAGATTCCCATGGTGTCTTAATCAGCTCCTTGAATTATTTGGAGACAAAATTCTTGTTATTCGCCATCTTCTTATTAAGTGTGCCCAGGTAAGTACCTCTGATCCCGTCGATCAGAGATATCAAATCCAGTTCCCCCTTGCTTGTTGTTCTGAGCCATTGTGAAGATACTCAGTGGAGTCCTAAGTCTGCAGCTCGCTGCTCAATGCCAAATGTTGCTTTAGCATTGAACAAGGCCACAAACAGGAGGTAAGACTGGCGGGGCAGGTCGATGTACTATATAAGAAGGCAAGCTGTAGAAATAGCCTCCATCTGTTTCAGCATGGGTCTGTTGGATTGAATCCTCCCGAAGAAGCTACGTGTGGGAAGAGACCACGTGGAATGTGGGGGCGAGTGTTTTGATTGAGTGCTCGCTACATCATATCTGCCCTTCAGGTATTCCTGGAGTAGGGCGAGTGATCCTGGAAGATTTGGTGTAGAGTTCACTTTCCATGTCGGGAGAAGGAAATGGCCCTGTTGTTGTGCAATGAGCATCCACTGAGGGTCTCCTGGGCTGTCCCTAAAAATCAGGGGTAAGACCACATTTTGTACCGCAATCCCTTGTTGGGAAAAGGACGAGGGGATTGTAGCAGCAGCTTTCTCCCTCCCCTTTCCTTGTTGGGATTGCATCCTTGGATCCTGTGTCCCTAGCCCCGCCTGGAGGGAGATTTCCCCCTGTAGCGAAGAGGTCTCGAAACTTTGGATCATCTATGAAACGGCCCTTTGTGGTCCTTGCCCTGTGAAGTCCTTTGTGTGTAGAGAGCTCTCTGGTGAGTTGCGAGGGCTCTTTGCAGGTGATGGTCCTGCAGACGCTGACGTGTCAGAGATGGACAAAACCCTTTTGGGTGTGGTAAGCTAACCCGGTCCCATTGGGAATTCAGTTACCAGGCGATTTGCTGGGTGGATTCCCTATTGGTCGTCGTGGCCCATTTGTCGTACCCTTACCCCTTGCTGCAGTGGCAGCTTGTGTCCCTTCATTCACACCTGGACGGGGGGGGGGGAAGGGGTGGTAAAGGGTTGGAATCCAGTGGTCTGGGATGGTCCTGCAATATTGGCAAGGCCATTGCGAGGATCTCGGATATATTGCCCCATCGTGAGGTGGCATGGCACGTCACCAGTTACATTGCTAGGTACGTGCTGAAAGGGGGTAGTGGGAGGAGTCAAGTTGCCAGTCCCCCCAACAGGTATTTCAAAGGCCCCTATTGTCGGGGGAAAAATACCTTCACCAATTACAGTGTCCTATGAAGCATGTCCCATTCCTTTGGAGTTCTCTGCATCCTCCGTGTTAATTCTTGCATCCGAGTTTTCTATCCCAGGTACATCCTATCACCAGTAATGTAGTCCATTTTCTCTGAGACCTAGCAGCATCTTTTGTTATCACACTCCCTGTTCTGTCAAGATGGGTTTTCCCTTTGTCTTCCTCTGTTGTGTCTCTCTCTTTCTCCTGTCTTCCAGGTCTGTCTTTGGGTAATGGAATCTCCTTTCCCACTCTCGGTTGTTCTTTCTTATTCTCTTGTCTTTCTGGTCCTTCCCATGATTCTGATCGCAATCCTTAGATTCATGCCAGAACGACTCTGGTCGGTGCTGGGGCTTGGTCGCACTGCCCTGTAACTCGAGCTGCACGGGGGTCTGAGACCTGGTAGAGAGATCTGGGGAGTTGTTGAGGGTGGAAGGCACTCTAGTGTCTGCTGGTACTCAGTCGACGCTGGCCGGAGCCGGGGCGGGTTGCTTTGCCCTGTAGCCTAGCAGGTGGGGAGTTTCTGGGGTGGGTCATGCCACTCTGTAACCTAACAGTTGGGGGTGTGAGGCGTGGTAGAGATTGAGTATCGGGACATTGCGGGGAGGCAGATAGGGTTGGGTTGCTGAAAGCACTAAGGCAGGTGGTTTTTTCGGTCTGAATGTTCCTAAGATCCAAGGTTTGGTTGGTTGTTCATGGTTGCCAAGGGGGGTCTTAAGAATGATTTAGGATTCTAGGGGCTCCTAGCAACTCATCTTAGGCTTGGACCCCACTGCCTGGCGGCTGGAAAAGTTTTCGCGTGGAAGGGCGATTTTGTACCCCAGTGGGCCGCCAGGAACTTTTTTGGGGAATGCGAACGTCGTTTTCAGACCCCACTGCCATTCTGGAAACACTGTTGGTCGTGTTTCTACATGGCTGGTGGCTGGAAACTCTCCGCCAAAAACTGGTGGTCCTTTTCCAAAACGTTCTCCAGCAGGCTACGGAGTGCAAAGTGCCAACCGTTGGCATCAGAGGCTGGCGAGGTGTGGTGCAGTGAACAGGCGTCGCGGACACCAGGACTCGGAAATCCGTCGCACGGTGCCGTGGACGACACGTGGCGCCCCACATGGACAAGCCAACCCGAAAGGCTAGCACATTTGCTGGTCCATGCAGGCCATCCGTACTTTCCTTTTCGGGAGGTGCCCCTCTCGGTTTTCCTAATGCGGCAAGCATGGCCGTTTCCAAAACCCCGCCAGAAATCGGCAGTGTGGTCGCGTCGAAACGTGCCAATTCCTTTCCACCGATGTTGGCCACAAACCGGCGGCCGAGTACCTTTTCCAGCCGCCGACCAGTGAGATCCAAGCCTTAGACAGCTCCATTGCTGATATACTCAGTGATCTGCGGTTTTTCGAAGGCAGAACGACGCTGGCCGGTGCTGGGGTGTTGCCCTGTAACCTGCTGATGCAGGAGTGTGCAGCCTGGTAGAGAGACCTGAGGATGCTTTGGGGTGGGCATTCAAAGGGACAACCAAGGGTTGCTGCTGGGACGATACTGGTCGGAGCTGGGGTGAGTCGTGTTGCCCTGTAACCTAGCAGGGTGGGGTTGTGAGGCCTGGAAGTAAGTCAGTGCTGGAGAGCTTTAGAAAGATTGCTAGGGATCCACAGGGTTTTGAGCATTGGTAGCGCCTCTGTGGTGGCGTGTTTTGTTGTGGCCAGACCTTTTTTCTGAAGTTTGTCGTAGTAATTTTCTAAGTCGCTCAAAATTTTCTTAGCCAAAGCCGGGTAATGGCCCCGGTATCTCAAACTTTCAAAATTCTAT